TAGAGACTGCGCTCACACATCTCCAACAAAGGGCTTCGGCTGCGCTCGCAGCAGTATTTAGTTACAACCGGGAATAAGAGGACAGGCTCAGACGATTGGACAAAACTTTGCCTGCAGGTTCTTCAAAGCCGGTCATTTCAGCACCGCCTACATCCCCCAACCCGTTTTTCCCCCCCTTCAGGGTATTATGATAACACCCGCAATGTTCGATGGCGAACGGCGAGGCTGCCAAGCAGAGTCGAGGCGCCTTGAGCTAAGGCTAAGACTTCCAGGCCCTGCTTCAGGAGCTGGGGGCATCGGGCCGAGGGCGCCTTTGCCCTACTGTCCCTTGGGACCCTTCCTGGTCTTGACTGGCTTTGCGCTCCCGTTTGCCGTCGGCTACCTGGGCCCGGCTTGTTTCTCCTGGCTTTAAGTTGCGGCTGAGGCCTTTTTCCGATAACTCGTGCCTCTCAGCTTGTCCAGCGAGATCCCCAGCCCTGTCCTGAGCAATGCGAGTCCTAGCTCTATCGCCACCCTCCAAAGAAGTTCTCTGGAGTGACTTCTGCATGAGGGAGCTGACAGCGAAAACCCGCTGCCTAGGCCTTCGATTCCGGGCTGCAAAAGGCTTGCTGAAAGCGGAGAAAGGCATCACAAACTCTGCCCAAGTTTTGCGCCCAGGAAGGAGGCTTCACACTACTCCTGGTGCATTCCCGTGACCAGAGCCTCTGCCTCTAGGCAAGTCGCCATCCAGGTCCATGGAGAATGCCGGCCCAAGGGCCAGGCAGCTCGATTTACCAGGCATGAACAAAGGCACGTTTCGTGTATTTCCAGGAGTCACCTTGGCGACTACACTCTGTAAACCAGAACTCCAAGGTGTCCTTCCACCCCGTGGTGGGCAGAGCCGGACCAGTTCCCTCCACGGGGTGCAGAAAGGCAGAAGAGCCAGAGCCACCAGCGGGAGAACAACGGGCCACCGAGGCAGCCAGCCAGTTCCGTGCCTCCAGAGGCGCGGGCTGCTGGCGGGTTCGCTGGTCCTGGGAACCAACCGAGAGGCGGGCGGGGCAGCGCTCTCTCCGGGGGCAACCACCGGGAACAGTGTGCGCAGCCCCAGCCGCAGACCGTCCTGTCTGGTCTGGCCGGAGGGCTAGGGGTTCTCCCCTCCGGTCCCAAGACCTCCAGCGACCCTGTAATGGGCGCCCGCCCCAGCCTGCGGCCCGCCCCGCGGCCTCGGAGCCAAGCTGGAATTGGTTAGAGCAGCCCGCTCCGGCACAGAGACCACACAGGCGCCGCCGGAGGGCAAGGCTGACCACCGGGCTGCGACTTTATTGTGTGAGTTATGGCGACCAATTGGGCGGCTCTGGGGAACGCAATCGACCTCTTCCTCCCGCTCTAGGGCGGAGGGAGGGGGGAAATGGGGTGGGCAAGGCCAGGACTCCTCAGGGCTCTACCCATTTCCTTAGGAGTTCAGGCTTAGAGAGATGCACGTGCTCCCGGTCCTTTCCCGAGGGGTGTAGACACAAGCTGCAACCCTAGTTCCCAGGGACTTAGGGGACCCAGGTGTCGGGGCCTGATACCCCTCATCTGGGGGAACCCTCCCTGTTCTCAAGGTATCGCGGCCTCCCCAGGCCCCGGAGCCCCTGCTGCAGTCTCCGTTCCTCCCAGCTAAGGGCACAACAATTTCTAAACATATCTAAGTCCAGGAGTGTCTCCTTGGGACCCTTTGGCAGCCTCACAGCGGCGGTTTGCCACTCGGGACTAAAGACAGGAAGGAACTAAGTGAGAAACAGAACAGCTATTCCCTCCATTTCTCCTTGGCCCGAAACAGAGCCCAGCCGCCCCACTGTATCCCCTGGGTTTATGACTTCCGAGGCCCGCCAGCCAAGGACGGATGCACGGAGCGGGGAGCGGGGCACTTGGAGGCGGCGGCGGGTGGTGGTGGGGTGGTGGCTTAGGAGACCTGGCTTGTGAGGGAGAAGAGGAAAGAGGATTTGCACGCTAAGCTAAAAGGCTAGTTTCGCCAATGCCGCCGACCGCCCAGGAGATGGCGAGCGCGCTCCACGCCTGGCGAGGCGCCGCCGCCGCACGGTCAAGATCAACAGTGAAGGGCGGCGCGGCGAGCCTGGGGTCGCCAGCCCTGCGCGGTCAAGGCCCGCTGCTACGAGCGGCAAAGTGCCACAGAAAGCCAGAAATAGTGGCAGCAAAGCTGACCCGGGCAGCGGAGCAGAGTGAGCCGGCGGACTGCCGGGCGCGGGAAAGTGTCGCGGCCGCCCCATTGTCAAGCAGCGCGTCTAGCTTCCAATGCCACCTTTGGTTCTGGCATCACGCGTAATGCGCGGGCCTCGGTCCTCCACCGGCGGCGGTCGAAACGTGCCAGGTTTCTGAGATGCTCTTCCTGCGGCCTCTCGATCTCCACCCAAAGGCGAGGCCCAGCTCCCTCCGCCTCCCGGGCTCCGCAGTGGTTTCCCTACCAGCGCCCAGGCCACCTACCGGCTCCTCTCCTCCCTCTTCTCCCGCCGCAATTCGGAATATAAAAGAAACGCGTATAAACAGCTAAGTTTTCATCTGTTATTGATTTAGCCGTCAATTCAAATTCCACCGGAGAGCGTCTGAGCGCAGTTTTAATCTCCAACAAACCTCCCATTCCTCTCAAGCCGAGGGAATCTGACATGCAAAGTACAGATGAAAGAAAAACCCCAAGGCAATCCCCCCATCCATGATGGGGAAACCTGGGAAATGGAGTGCGACCCTGGAGTCTGGAATTTACAAAAAAGAAGGGGGGCGGGAGGACGGCGATGAAGAAGAAGGGAAAACAGACCCGTTTCAGATGAAAATACTTCTTGTAAGAAAAACAGCGAAAATGTTACCGACCCTTCCCGAACTGGACGATCAGGGACCGTGTGGCCCCATTTTCAGAGGTTATTTCTTTTCTGGAGAGAGAACTGCCGTCACTTTTCTTTTCAATTGAAACGAAGTTGGCCGCACGCAGTGGACTCTGACATGAAAGAAATCAAGCTAAGCCAGAGAAAACGAAAGTAGCTCCCTGGGCTTGGGTCTCTGCGTTTTCTCTCGCAGAGCCATAAGGAAGTCCTTCTGCCAGAGGAGTTTACAGACTGTGTGAGGTTTAAAAAAAAGTTGTATTTAACTTACATATCGCAAAGTTAGCCACCACTAAATTGATTTCCTCTGGGCGCTAACAAAGGAGGGTCACGCCATTCCTCAGCGGCCATTTCCCTGAGTGGCAAAAGGCCTCAAAGAGAAAGTTCGTAGTACCTAAAAATTGTGTCTACAGGTTTAGGGTGTATAACTTTGGTTTTAATCGCCAATTGTTTTGTGCAGGCTGCCCAGCGAAGGTATTATCGGATAAGCCTGAAATGTTTCTTTTTCGATTGCCAAATATGGGTATGTCTTCTTAATTTCAGCACTTCCCTAGCGCAGATATTCACAACGGCCTTTCTAGGTCGAAAACTTCCAAGACAGCAAGTTTTCCTATACCCAGGCACACAATACTATTGACGCAAAAATAAAAAAGCTATTTGAATTAATTGATAATATTAAAGAGAAGTAAAGTTTTATTGGAGTTTTTTTTTGAACTGGTCTGGTAAAAAAAAAATCACTTTAGACACCGCAAATCATATCTTCATTTAAAGATATCCCTACTTATGTTAAAGGCACAGGGAAAGGGGGCACAGGGGCATGAGTGGAAGCAAGGAGGTTTCAGAGAGCAGACTCCTGTTGAGTTTCCTTCATTTATAGGGAACATAACAGTGTTCCATATAGCAAGATTGTATAATAAATAAGAATAGAAAAAAGAAAACAAACGTATAAAGACTCAGAGGAAACAAGAGAGTTCTGTTTATTTTCATCTCCCTAGGAGTAAAAAGTGATTTTTAAATGCCTGAAGCTCTGCCCATGTATTCCAGCTCACAGACATTGCATCTACAAAAATAAACTCTCCGTTGTATAAATATGCAGCACTTTAACAGTCATTATTTATTGTCACTTTCAGAAACACCTTCTTATTTTCTTCTTGGACCTTAGAGCTCCCATTTTTTCACTTTTGTTAGATGCTTTGAAGCTCCACAAGAGGCCCAAATGCATCTGTTCAGTCAGGTTCTTCCTCAGTTTCTAGATAGATGTTCTCACCCATGGCCACATTGCTGCAGCCTCTTTCTAGGGACTGAGTTCCCACAAACTCAAGGCCAAGGAGAGGGGGTCCATTTATACCATTTATGGGTCATTCTGCCAATTGCAGCCTTTAAATATTTGCATCTAGAGCTGGAAAAACAAAGGCATTCATGAGGACACATCTTATTACTTTCAAATTAATGATTCTACAAAGCAAAATCTGCAAAGTGTATTAAACGCATTCAACTAAAAGCAGCAAGTGAAAGACCTAAAGTTGGAAAGATTGTCTTCATTCCAGTATTGATACAAACCCTATTTAATAAGGTAGCTGCTTTTAAAGCCATCACAGTACCTTCAGTCTCTGTTTTTAGACTGGCCCCAGTGACCCCAGAGCACTGCCTGCCCAGGGCTGTTTCCACTTGCCTAGGGGGACTGCTGAGAGCTAATGATTCAATTACCCAATTACAGGATATGAATGACTGCAAATTGTTCTGCCCTAATGGATTACGAAGATAATCAGTGCTGGAAAATCATATAAAGTGATTAGAAAAATATAACCCTAAAATCTGAATGGCACTTCTGAAATTCATTTGGGAGGATTATTAAAAAATACGTCAAGTCCTTTATACTGGCCTGGAGGGAGAAACAGAACATTAAAAATGTCATAAAAATAAACCTAGACAACAACAAAACCAATAATAAACAAGGAAGAAACAGAACTACAAAGAAATTGGGCAGCAAAAGATTTTAGAGCCAGATATGGGAAAGAGAGAAAAACAATTCACAAAATTTGCCATCACAGGCAAGGGATTGGGAATTAAATACATATTCAAGTCTTTCAAAAGGTCTTTTGGAGACAGCTGAAGACGTTTAAACCGTGGCCAACCTGGCCCACATCAGGAGACAGTGTCTTTGAGTTTGGAGATGATTTTCTTGTCCTTCACCCTTCGGTTCTGAAACCAAATGGTCACTTGTCTCTCGGATAGGTTCGTGGCAGCCGAGATTCGCCGCCGCTTGTCCTTGTTGATGAACTTGTTAATGGCATACTCGTTCTCCAGTTCTTTGAGCTGCAGTTTGGTGTAGGGCACCCTCTTTTTCCTCCCCCGGCGGTAGACACACATGTCCGGCTGATTTAGAGCCACATCCCCTGGCATAAATAACAGCATGGCAAAAATTAGACAGAGATCTGGAGCACCCGGCTGGGGACTGTGCGTGTGGGTTTCGGGGTGGGAGTGTCGTGAATAAAAAAAAAAGCCAGGCTGTTTACACTTTATTATTATTTACACAGAAATTATTTACACGTTATCAGGGAAAGATTATTTGCACTTCAAAGTGAAAGCAAATTTGATGGATCATCATGGTTTCTCAAATCGGCCTCTTAACAAGCCTACACGATTTCATGGTGTGGTTATCGGGGATGCTCATGTGAACAGTTTCTGCAAACTCAGGTCACACACACAAACATACACAGATCAAAAACAGAACAAAGGAAAAAAAAAAAAAACCCCAGGTCTTTTGCTCAAGCTTTGATATCCTGTGTCCCTGTGTTTGGAGCTTGTGGGATCTAAGAAGATTTAGTGGCACCTTGGGTCAGTAGTGTACTAGAAAAGTGGGGTCCCAACGTTGTGACACATCTTCAGAAAGAGGCCCTGTTGGGGAGGAGGAGGGAGGGGCCGGAGCAAAGAACATGCAAAGACCCTCAACTTTAGGAAAATAACACGCACGTGGACACTCAAACAAGAAGGAAAAGGGTGTGAGAGAGATGAAATCGAAAGAGGTATTTCCAGTTTTCACACGAACGGGACAAACTCTATTCCACCGGGTTAAGGGCCTGGTCAGCCTTGGAGGACAGGCTCCCACTCCCAAGGAGGGGCCGCACTCCTAGTCCTTTCTTTCCCTCTCTCCTTCCCTCGTGGCCTCCTTTTTTTCTCCATCGCCCCTACCTGGAAAGGATGATTTCCAAAAGTGGGAGCCCTGCGGCTGGTCCTTGGCGCAGTACACCTGGCTGTTCCACCCGTTGGCCAGCGTCCAGGACTGGTAGCCCTCCATGGAGATGTACGCCTCGTGCCGAGGCTCCCCGGAGCCGAAGGTGGACACCATGTCGATGTAGCCGGGCACATGCTGGTAGGGGCTCGTGTAGCCCTGGTAGAAGGACACCTCCTTGGCGCGCGCGGGCACCTCGTTGGCCGGTACGCTGCTGCTGGCCAGGCCGGACACGTCCATGTACTTCTCCACCGGGAAGCCTCCCAGCGAGGCGTGCGGCGACGACTTGAGAGCATTCTGCTGTAAGCCCACGCCGTGCGACATGCGGCAGCTATAGTAGCCGTTGCCGAAATGGTAGCCGTAGCCCAGCGCTGGGGCGCCCGGGGGCGCTGCAGCTGCCGCAGCGGCCGCGGGTGCCGGACACTCCTTGGCGGGGGGTGCATCGGGGCGCGCCGCGGCCACAG